AATAACTCAGCAGGAGTTTTTGCCCGTCGTATCATGTTTTGCGGTTCTAAGGGCGAAAGCTAATTCATTGACATAGTTATCCCAGCTTTTATGAAAATTTTAACATAACTACGGATAATTTTTCACTATATTTCTATTGACCCGTTCCGCTATAGTTGATTGCAGCCGATACGGACCATTTTAAATGACGTAGCCCAGTTTTTGGGCACATGTCTCAAATATTTACTACAAATTGAGGACCACTATCCGATATAACTTTTAGGGGAGCCCCGTATTTTATAATATATTATTTAAAATAGAATCAGTAACTAATTTCGCGGGGGTCGTTTAAGGAAACAATTTCGGTCCATTTACTAAAATGATCAACCATAACAAGGATGTACCGACTTTTATTTAACTGACTTTTGGGAAAGGGCCCAATAAATCGATGCCAATTATTTCATTTAAAATTTTCAGGATCCTTTAATACTCATAAATGTTTCCAAACTCAGGATCCTTACCCAGTTCGGTTATTACAGTTTCTCGGGAATTTATTGTCATTGCTGTGAGCATTGCCACCTTTACAGTATTACCTTCTTCATCTATTTTATTCTGGATAGCATCTGCTACGATATTTTCCTTTCCGGGGTTATGCTTCATTACCAGATATATTCTTGTAGCTTGATTCCCATGTTATAACCTGGGGATACGTTTTTCCCTGATACAATCTAGTTACCGCGCATGATCAGAATAACTGTTATTGGCGCTCTTCCAAAATAGACTCGGAACGTTTGCACTGCTACAGAACTGCAAGTGCCTCTCTCTCAGTCGCGGGAATATTTCTTTGTGTCTGATTTAAAGTTCACTAAAAAATGCCACGGCTGCTGATTTTGCGAAAGTACCGCTCCTACCGCACAATCCGAAGCATCCGCTGAAATTTCTAAATTCTCATCCTTTTCAGGAAATTTCAACACAGGGTCTTGCGTTAATGCTTGCTTTAATTTTTCGAAAGCACTTTGGCTTCGGCCGTCCACGAGAATCTTGCCTTTTTTTTTCCTTTTTAATTTTAGCAATGGTTCAGCAATAGCTTGCAAAATCTTTTAAGGACCTATAATATGAAGAAAGTCACTAGAAAAGAAGACCGCTTCTTCGCCGTATTTGGCGGCAGATACTTTTGAATAGCGATTATTTTTGATTCGTCCGACTCGATTCCTTTCTGAGATATTTTGTATCCCAAGTATTTTAATTCAGGAGGCTGCAAATTTATACTTTTCAACATTAACTTTTAGAACCGGCCTCATTTAATAATGAAAACATCTCTCTCAAATCCTTTTATATGTTTAATCCAAATTATCACTTAGTAATAATGATATCGTCTAAATATATAAACGTGTGGTCTTTCCTAGAACAGGGCCTTAACACAATGTCCATACATCGCTGAAATGTTGCCGGTGCCCCTGAAAGGCCAAACGGCATACGCAAGAAATGCATAAGTGCCAGACTTTAGTTATAAAAGCAGTCTTAGGCACATCTTCTGGTTTTAACATCCTATTTGGAAATAACCTGAGTCGTTAAGTCTAACGTAGTCATATATTTTCGTAGAAGTTATGTTCCTTAAAATTTCTTCAATAATAGGTAACGGATATACCGGATATTTAGTCATGGAGTTTAATTTACTATAGTCAATTGCAAAACGCCACCTTTTCGGATGTGTTTCTGGATAATCGTTATTTTTCTTATATAACACAACCGGGCTAGCATAACTACTTGAGATGGGCGTTATGATCTTTTTACGTACGTAACTTATCTCGAATGTGCCACTCTATAATTTATTCTTTATTCTTTATCGTATCCGATACGGCTTGTGGCGAACTGGCAGTGAATCTCCTGTGTCGATACTATGGTTAGTAACTTGAGTAAATCCGGGAATATCACTAAATAACGAAGCAAATTCACTTACCACTTGTCGAATTTTTTGTTGCTCTCCCTTAGGCAGGTGACTGAGATTTAATGTGGGTGGTTCTCTTTTTTCTTCCCGAACTGGTTGCATGGTCAGCTTAAGGGACGCTTAGTTGAAATCCAGCGTTGCTTCTGCCTCTGAAAGAAAATCTATCCCTAAAATGACATGTGCTTGTAAATTTTTTACGATAAAAATCATGATCTTTACTTGCTCGTCCTTGATGCGAATATATAATGGTATTTTACCTATGCATTTGCATCTTTCTCCCTGCGCAGCTAACACTGCCGTATTATCCGAATTATATATGCGGAATCTACGGGAGTATATCCTAAAAAAATCTTCTGCCACACAGGAACACTGCGCGCCTGTATCCAGGAGTGCGGTGGCTGGGATGTTGTTCACCAAAACTTCAATCTTTGGAAGAATCAAATTTTTCACAATAACTGTATTTAACTTGAAGGAAGAGGGGTTTTCTTCGCCTTCGGATTTCCGCACCCTCCCGTCAGCAGAAATCCGTTTTAGTTTAAATTTTGTTTCTTCCTTTCCATGCCTTCCTTCTTTTTCCGCTGGCCTTCAGACTTTTCTTCTGCCGTACTATTGAACTGTCGACGTTCGCCGGTTGTTTTTGGATACTCAGGTTTCCTTGCCCACTGATTCGATTTAATTCCGTAGCCGTGTTCTTGCCTTTGCTGTGGTCTTGGCGCACCAAATTGGCTTCGTTGCTCATACTGGCGTCTTCTTTCAATGTCCGCCGTTCTTCTACTTTCAAACTGGATTGCTAGCTCAAATAACTTTTCCAGTGTAGTCGGATTCCTTAATTCAATAAAGTCTTGTACTTGGGGAAGTACCCTCTCGCAAAATCACTTGGATTATCTCAGGATCCGGACGGCTTCCATACAAGAGTTTAAGGACGTGAAGTTTTCTTAAAATAAAGCTTGAGAGATTTTCAATTCGTTGCTGGTATATGCTGAAGAGTTCCGCTTCTAATTTTGAACGATTTCTTACGACAGGGAAGGCTTTTACTAAGGCAGTCTTGAAATTTTCGTAAGTATAGGTGGGGCTTCCCGCTTGACCCAAGAGGTTTCTGCCTATACATTTGAGCCAATTAAGCGCTTGTAGCGCTTAATTGGCAATTAATTTTACAAATTGGCTTAATTTTACAAAGCGCTGGTAGCTAAGGTGACTTTCTGGAACTCATGGACTGGATACAGCATGAAGTGGTCATCGAATTTTTTCAAAAAACTGGTTACCGGTGAGTTTCCATTAAATGTTGCTTCTGGTTTCATCGATGCGCGCATGGTCTGTACGATGTATCCAAATCCTTCCAGGGCGGCAGCTGGCATTTCTGGATTCTGAGCCGCTTCTGCAGGCACCACAGGTTCTTCTTGAAACTCGGCCATGGTTATTCTTCTTCGTCGGGCGCCACTATCAGGACTTGTGTTCCTCTTTACTTGCTTTGGAAACATGAACTGTCCTGACTCGGAACAGGGAGCTTATGTTCAATAAATTGTGAAGTAGACAATACACACAGGAAGGGTATACGAAACCCTTTATTTTTTGTATCTTTACAGAGATTTCCGGAACTTCGGAATATAGAGACCAACCACTTGTAGTCTGAACGTAAGAATATAAAATTACTAACTAAAACTCTAACTAAAACTAACTTTGGATTAATATACAAGTGCCTAACTTTAAGATTGGCCGTTATTTAACAAAATCCGTATGTAGTACAGAGAGCTGCTAAAACTACGATACGTTTGAAATTATCAAGAGGACTAAACCTCTGGCCTTGAAGGCAACCAGTAACCGAGTAAAACTACTAGGCCGCTTGCCATAGTACTTTTACTCGGTTGCTGGTTGCCTTCTAATAACTCCTTCCTCTCTCTTGCTTGGCAAAAAGCAACAACTTAAGTACTTGGCGTTAGCAAGACAAATTTGCATAAATAAGTTAAAGCTTTTAATTCTAGCCGGAATTAGAAAATAAGAAGTGATAGTAAAGATTTAAAATAAAATAAAAGTTAGTAAAACTTAAAATCCTTACAAAATTACTATCAATTACAAAATTTCTCGACTTCTCTATAAGTTCAATATTTAAGTCATTTTTTCATCTATCAGTAAAATTCATTTTTTGATTCTTAAGGATCTCATATGTGCTTTTAATTTCTTGTGTAATTTAGCACTGTTTGATATATATCGGGCTGTTTGGTGTATATTGGCCGAATTGAAATTTCTCGTCAGGGAATATGAATTAATTTTCGAAAGGAAAAAATAATTTTATAAGCTAAGTGCGACGATCACGTAATTTTATTTTAATATGTGGTCTTGAAAAATTACCAGTAAAGCTTCTTCATTTAATCAACTGGGTTCTTTTGAACAATTTCACATCATTAATATTTTTCTTGTTTACTTAATGATATTAATTTTCCAATTTCGCCCTTCCTAATGCTTTCAAATTTCTAATACCTTTACGTTTCATTACTACTTTACTCAATACATCACGTTACATTCTTTCCCTTATAAATTCGTTTCGCTCCTCTCACTACTGATATTTCCTTTCACTGTCATGAAAAATCTAAATAATGCGATAAAAAGTATTGTTATTCTTGAATTATACTTTTTATAGAAGCATTGGTTGTGAAGGGTTAGTTTAACAAATATATTTTGTTTTGTTATTAAAAACAATTAAAAAAGAGAATTTTTAAGACATGCAAAGATTTAAATTGTTTGTGACCTCTATAATAGGCAGTTCATGCCACCATTCTTGAGATTAAAAATTCTGTAAAATTTTATTGACCACGCCTCTCGCAGAACCTGCCTTAAGTCTTGTCTTTTCTTCCAAAATTTCTTAATACTGAGCTAATTTCGCCTCCTTCTTCGGTGGGGAAAAGCGAAAATCTTCATCAGATTTCTTTTTTAAATCGTAAGGAATATATGATTAGGAAAACAGTATGTATTTTATAAAAGTAATGTGGCGTAAAGCATACATTCCTAAATTTAAAGAATACCAATACATTATAATAATACCTTTTCTCTTTCAGGTGAGGTTCTTGGTGCACGTTGTGGCAGAACCAGAAGCTCACAAGCTAGTCGCGTTTCAAGTCCACAATTATTAGGTATTTTATTGCGTAATTTTATCTATTTTAATAAAGTTCTTAATTTAGCAATAAAGATCCATGGAAAATAATACGTTATGGGATTAATTTATTATGAATTTTGATTAAAGAACGGTTAAGCTGTTAATAATGAAAGCAAACCTGAAATAAGGAGTTACTTTGAGGCATTTATGTTTACGTTTTACTCTCGGAAAGGCATTTAGGTTAGAGTTAACTTTAAGGTCCCCCTTGTATTAATGCGAAGTTGTTGTTTTATTTATCGCCAAGTTGTTGTTTCGTTTATCGCCAAGTTGTTGTATCATTTATGGTAACCTTAGTAGTTGAATGTTATGGAAACCCTATTTTGACGTAATCGTTTTCATTATTCTGGGAAATTTTGAATCATGAGATATTTTGCAAGGGCTTTTGTGGTGTGTGTTGCTTAGGAAGTACATTGCTTGTTTCGTTGCTTAGACGATACAATGGCTGAATATAGTAGGATTAATTTGAAGTTTCTGTACGATTTGGAACGAAAGGGGAAAAGTGCATTAATTGAGTGAATTAATTGTGTTTTTAAAGAAATTTAATTTTGTGTAAATTTTAATTTGGTGATGTACATAGTTTAAAAAAGTAAAGTAATAATGACCCTAAGACGAGATGAAGGTGCTTTATTAGACAGAAGTGTGTTGGATTGACTCTAGCAAGAAAGCGATGCATTAGATGGATTTGGCCGATTAACAGATGCATTCAGGGAGAATGTCGTATCTGATGAAACTGAGTCAGTATTATAATTTTTAGAAGAAATTGAGAAGCAATTTGTTTTGTACGCTGTCGTGGAGTAGCAAGAAGTTGTAAATAGTGATAGTCGTAGCAGTATTAAAATGGCAAGCTTAGAAATTGGTATTAATATTCAGGAAGGCATTAGCAAGCCTTGTCGGTACACCGAGTTGTTCATATAAAGTTTTTATGCAAACTTTGTTAAAACCATTTCCGCCGGTAAGAAGTGGGATGAAATTAGAAACAAAATTATATAGTCAATTTCAAATTACCTAAGTTTATACTAAGAAAAAGGAAATGTAGTAAGTTATTGTACAGGGATGAGCATGAGAATAATATTTTGGAGATAATAGTACCACAGTTACTACCCAGAATACAATATTGTGTAGAATTAAAGAGTCCCCAAACATTAAACGAATTATTTCATTCAGCAACTAAATATGAAAGTAAGCGTATATCGGTCGAATAAAGTCACAGACAAGTTGAATTTCATAGAAATGACGAATATAATGCTGGCGAAGAAGGCAGAAAGTTTTCATCGTTTTTTGAAAATGTTGGAAGTTGCCAAGGAGGCCAAATATTGCAGACAATGTTGTAGACAAATATTGTAGACAAATAACTGCAGACATGACGATTTGAAAACAAAAGATGGTACTGATAAAAACAGGAGAAAAGGTAGGAATACAAACTAAGAATTTACACTAAAATGGAGTGCAGGAAAGAGGAGATCAATAACAAGTCCTCTCAGATAGCGTTGAATATTATTGTACTTAAGAATGCTGAAGTACCTTACTTAACAGCTCGAAGTCAATATCGTATCAACGAGAGCTCTGCTAGATAGGGAAGTAGTGAAAGATGTCTTTTATCTGCCAGATATTTTTATAAGTACTTCCTGAAGTATAGATTATTTGATGTGTACAGTATTCTTGTGAGGCTATTTCTTACGTACAATAAACATATATGTAAGGAATAGCAGCACAGGGTGGACAATGTTCAGTGTATCATAATCTTAAATACAGTACTTATAGTTAAAAATAGAAGATCAAATGACGGTGTTGTTTGGTTTTAAAATTCTTACAAATTGGTGTTATTTTGGTGGGTGAATTTCCTGCAAAAAAGTAAACAACAAATTATCTTTAAAAAATATGACAATACTAACAGTTACAAGTGGGAGGAATATCAAAAATTCACCATTAGGCCCACCGTACTAATTGTGTAGTTCTGTTCCAATTTTAAAGAATTCCTCGGATACAATTTGAGCGTCACCCACCTCTCTTTCCTTACCTTCAAACTTTCGAGCGAACCTTTGGCTCATTGTGTATTCTAAATGTCCACTTGCCACGCGGATACTATATATACCCTTACAAATATCCTTGCTTTCTCCGGGATTTGAAGCCGGGCATATTGATACAGCAGTTAACGTGACTAACCATATATTGGCTCAGCGGTGAAAACTCTAACAATGGGTGAAATAAATGGAGCGCCTAAGGAGGCGCCAAACATAAGTTGAAACACGTGGCGAAAGGACAAAAAAGAAGATGATCCTTATATCTGTGGTTACCGATAAGCCTGGCCTGACCATATTGGAAAACAAAATTGTATTTCCTATATATTTAAAGTATACGCGAGCCCTTCAGTCCTGTGCAGAAAGAAAAACGAATGTCCAGTAACAGATTTTCAATGTTAGAAATTAGCTATTGACTGTCGTAAATTAGATAAAGCTACTAAGTACCCTGTGTATTCATTTAACTATTGTTATGTCGTGGAGCAAAAACACTTTTACTTTACACCTGACTGCCACTGGCTCCGACATAGCAATGTGAATACTCTACATCTAAAATTTTAAAACACCATTCCAGAATTTTAAATGTTTATTTAATAGAATTCTATTCATATATTTGCAAGTTATACATTATAAACACAATAAACAAAATTTGAACTTATCTGCACCAGCGTGAATAATCCTGGCATAATATTCTGAACTCGACGCAACCTTAGGGGGGAAAATACCGCAAATTCAAACACAAGGTTTCATCCTTTCCAACGCAGCTAATTTTCTAAATATATTTTACTAATATCCGCAGCGGGACAGCGGATTCATTTCATTCACCCAAAACTCAAATGTTTTAACGCAATAGTATCGCAAAGGAAAAACGTCGACTCAAAATCAAAATATAAATCTATAGAATCATTCGCTGTTGCCATTCCAGCACTGCCAAGTTTTTCTTCCTGCAGCTGTTGCCAGACTTATCCTCGCTGTATGATGAGAGGTACAACATCCTCCCACCCTGATTTTCTCAAAATCAGACATTACATAAAAGTTTTCTAACATTACGAATAAAACAAAACAGTACTATGTATTAGTTTAGAAAACACATAAAAGAAACTCGGTTAACATACAATATATATGACAGATCATACTAAAAGGAGATCAATAAAGAATAAACTTCTAATTAAAGTCATTGCTAAAGAAAAGAGTCTTGGTAGAACGAACTAAGCGCTCCCACAATCCCCACCACCACGCAGCCGTAGGGGGGGTGAATTTCCATTTTATTGGAAAACACTCGTTTTCTGTGATTTTTCTCCAATCCAGGCATCTCAGAGCATTGTCTGCTCCGGTAAAATTGGTTCCGTTATTTGAATACATTGTCGCAGGACGGCCTCGTCTGGCAATGAACCGTCTCAGAGCCTGTAGAAACGTTTCGGTACTCAGAGAGGTGACAGGCTCCAGGTGAATTGCCCGGTATACGGCGCAGGTGAACAAGACGATCCAAGCTTTACTCTTTGGTCTCAGAAGTAAAGGTCCACAAAGATCGACTCCAGTTGTTTCAAAGACTGCCGAATCTCTTATTCTGTCAAGGGGTAACTGGATCGGAGGGGTAGATAAAGCCTTAGCGGTAAATCTCCTACATACTACACATCGACTTACGCAAGATCTTATATTACGTTTCGTTACGAAATGATCCAGTATCGCTCTCTTAACTTAGCAGCTAATATCTGCCCTCCCGCATGACAGTTCTTTTCATGATACTCTCTTATGAGGGATTCAGTTAAATAATGCTTGGACGGAAGCAACAGGGGATAAAGGAAGCAGAATTCATCATCACGTTCAATGATTTTAGTTTTAACTCTGAGAATTCCTTCGTTTTCTCTCACTACCAATAATCCATGGACGGAATCTCCTTTCTCTTGAAAGTGCTTCCTTTGCTCTAAACTCCACAAAAATGTTTCGGCGTTAGTTTTTTCTTCTACTGTTAAGGTATCCGAAGAATACGAGGGCTTCTTTAGGAGTTTATTAGTAAAGCGTAGAACCCAGCAGAATACTCGAACTATTTTAGAAAAACTCGAAAAACGTTTGTACCACTCAGAATCTTCTAATTTTATACTCAAATTGACAATTACTCCCTTCTTAATTTCTGCTGCAACAGAATTTTCGTCTGGAGTAAACTCAAAGTCTGGCCATTCTTTCGGAGAGCTTTTCAGAAATTCGGGGCCCTCCCACCAATTGCATTGCCGCAAATGTTCAGGCGTACAGCCACGAGATGCCACATCTGCCGGATTCAATTTCCCAGGGATATGTCTCCAACATTCCTGCTTCGAGAGTTTCCGAATCTCCTTTACTCTATTATTCACAAATACTCCCCAGTTTTCCTCTCGTTGTATCCAGCTAAGAGCCACACAGTAGCGTCTGTCCAGTAATATATCGGGACATCGACTAAGCACAGGGTTTCAACAGTATACCTTGCCAAGCGTGCACCTAGAACACAGGCTAGCAACTCCAAACGCGGAATAGTTATTTTCTTTAAGGGCGATACCCGTGATTTTGCTATGACGAATTTCACGAAAACTTTGTCTTCTTCCTTACTTCGTAAGTAAATGACAGTTGCATAAGCAGGCTTGACTGGCATCGCAAAAGACGTGTAGAGTCCATGAATCCTTAATTCCATGACCCATGCGACGAGGTAATTTAAGGCTGGAAAGACTAGGCAACCTTTCGTACCATCTCTCAAATCTTGTTTGTTTGAAGTTCATCCGGTAATGGCTTATCCCAGGTCGATTTTGTTGCCCAAGCCTCTTGAAGAATTAATTTCGCAGGTAATATGACGGGCACAAAGAAACCTAGCGGGTCAAAAACAGCATGGATTAGAGACAATAGTCTCCTTTTTGATAAGTCTCTTTTAACGATTTCTCTTTGGACGGATATTGTAAGGCTGTCATCTCGTCGGTCCCACTGCAAGCCTAGA